ATTAAGATGCTCCATCAACAGTACAGCTTCCTCAGAGACCTATTCAGTTCTGGATGTTTCTGGTATTGGTAATCTGCTCAGGGCATCTGCATTTCCATGTTGGTTACCAGTTTTGTAGATTACCCTATATTGGTATGCTGCTAGTGTCAGGGTCCAACGTTGTAACTGGCTGCTTGCCATGGTGGGCACAGCTTTACTGTCAAACTTGATATGCATTCTATGGCTCGTTTTTCACAGCAACTGAGGGGGGAGTATGGGAGAGTGTGAAACTAAAATGCTTTTGCTTTTGCAAGGTTGCTTTGAAGTAGCATACATTTTTATCACCTCTGAGAAACCAGATGTCCTTGGAACTCAGCTTTTGCAGCTCGGCTTCATCTTACACATTGGAGGGATGGCACAGTAAAGGGGGGTTGTTAGCTGTTACTTTTAGCGGGTGGAATACTAAGGGGTGATTGGTCCTGGGCAGGGGTCGTTTCGTAGAAAAAGAACTAGGGGAACTCATTAGCATAACTCATTAGCATATGCCACACCCCTGACATCACTGGAAGTGTGTCATAAGGCCACACCCCCTGACATCACCGGAAGTGTAACCAGAGTATGTCCTTATGGCCTTATGACACACACTGGAAGTGTGTCATAAGGCCACACACCCTGCCCCCAACGGTCCCGGCCACCGCTGGCCTTGCAGCTCCATTGCCGAGCCCCATGAGGGGCCCGGCGGTGGACCTGCAAGGCCGGTGGGAGCGCAAGGAAGCCCTGCGAAGGGCCTCCCTGGCCCCAGGCAGGCAGGGGTGGGGAGAGGCAGGGAGGAAGCAACTTACCCTCCTCTTCTCCTGCTTCCTCCTGGCTTAATGAGGGCCGGAAGCGGGGCAGCCGGAAGCAGGGGGCGGGGCTTCGTCATGTGCCCCACCCCCCCGTACCTCACCCGGGGGAACTGCGATCCCCCGCGATCCCCCCGAAATGACCTCTGGTCCTGGGCCTTTAGGGCCACTGCTTGAACCTTGTATCACTGTTGCATTCGTGCCTTTGGCTTCAGTTCTAACACGGGCAGTGTTAGGTCTGGATCCTATCAATGACTCAATAAACGTATCAGTCCCCAGAGTGAATGTTGTTGGGAACTGATTTATCCAGGAGTCTGACATTTACTTTCATTAAAGAGTCCAAGCAATGCTTTATGGTCTGTGACAATAGTGAACAGTTTCCCATACAGATACTGATGAAAAATTTTTATGCCAAAGATAATAGCTAGGCCCTCTTTCTCCACTTGTGAATAACCTTGCTCTGCTTTATTGAGTGATCTTGAAGCATATGCTAGAAGCTGTTCTTCTTGATTTCCCATATTGTGTGACAATACAGCCCCTCACACCATCAGATGAAGCAGCACAAGACGGGATCAATTCCTTTGTAGGGTCAAAATGGACTGGTAGATTTGAAGATTTTCTACTTCTTGCCTTAGACAGATGTTTCAGGTGTGGAGGAAGTCACTTGGCCATAGAGGATCCCAGTGCCATACTGCTGGCATTCCCTTCAGGTCCAGTTTACATATGTCTTCCCAGTCTAATTTTAGTTCTTTCAACCAGTTCCTGCCCAATAAATTGGGTCTATCACCTTTTATTACTATGTCTTGTAAATCTCATTGTTGCCCTTTATAATTCACAGGGATAACCCTACTACAGGAATATTTTCTCCAGTACTTTTACTTTCGCATTTGCCAGAACTCTGACCTCTACTTTGCTCTGTTGATGTCTTTTCATTAATCACGGTCACTGAAGCCCCCGTATCTATCTCCATACATACAGGTTCTTTTTTCAGTTCCACAGTGACTGTATCGGGTTCTACTCTTTGGGCCTTTATAGAATACATTGGGTGGACAAGGCCTTCTTTTTCTGCCTCTTCCAAATAGCAAGCTTCCAGCTACTTTCCTTCGTCATTAGGAGTATGTGTGTATCTCTTTGGGCCATGTTGCACTCCCTGAGAACTACCTCTACATTTTCTGGCTAGATGTCCCACTTTTAAACATTTATGGCACTGGGATCCCTCTATGGCTAAGTGACTTCCTCCAGACCTGAAACATCCATCTAAGGCTGGAGGCATTTGCTTCTGGCTTTGTATTTTATTTAAAGGGTTCACCTGAGCGTCCTTGTTGTCTAGGTGGGGGCTAGAGACTTTTTTAAAAACATGAAAGGTGGGATTTCAGAGACCCTGATACACAGATAGTTACCTCTGTTGAAGTGAGTGACTCAGTGTGCCTGAACACTGGGAAGTAGTACATCACTCTAAGTGTGTATAAGTATTATCTCCTTGAATGAGATGCCTCTCTTTTTCTTAACCTGGGAGCTGCCCTCTGAATAAATAAATAATAAAGTAAATAAATAATGATGGGCTGACCACCACTGTTCTCATTTGCCCCTCCAATAAAAATTTTCTGGCTACAGGCTGTGTCTGGAAAGAAATGGGCAGAAAGACAGCTTCATAGCTGCAAGAAAAGGGAGGACAGTAGGGAAATTCTGCTGTAGCAAAGTGCAGAGCACAATTGCTGCAGAGGAGCAAGTGTTTCCTTATGTTACTTTTCAAGTATATATAATGTTAATTATTAAAAGTATGGAATTGGAAACTTTTTTAAAAAATAATGTTTTTATTGGTTTTGACAAAACCGTTTTGACAACAAACAAGGCAAACAGAATAAGAAGCAAAAGGTGGCTGTGGCTGGATGACCACACTTCTGGTATCATGGGGTGTGGCCTAATATGCTAATGAGCTGCACTGTCAGGGGTGTGGTCGAATATGCTAATGAGTTTCTGCTGTTGGGTGTGGCCTATTATGCTAATGAGTTCCTGCTGGGCTTTTTCTACAAAAAGAGTCCTGATAATATAGCATATACGGCTAGACTCTGCCATTGTAACTTTGGATGCATTGAGACAGTTTCACATATCTGTTTGCACTGCCAATTTTATGTAGATATTTATGTTTTAGATATTTGAACCCTATTTTAGCCAATATGACGGACCTTCCTGATGCTTTAAAAGTGCACCATCTTCTGAATGACTTCGCTACTGAAATATCAGTGAAGGTAGCCATGTTTTTACAATCAGCTATAAAGCTACATCAGGGAAAACTATCAAAATGAGCAACACTTTGTAACAAATTGTTTTATGTAATATTATGCAATATTATGTAGTTTGCAAAATACTTGGTTTTATATGTATGGTTTTATATGTATATTTTTTATAGTAAACCTCTTTTAAGGTATTGTTTTATGCCAATAAAGGCTGGCTGACTGATTGACTGACTGACTGACTGACATAAATGGTCTGATATAGGTTGCAAGGCCTCCTAAACCTGGTGGGTCAGAAGCTTTGCTGACATTCTGACTGTGGCAGTACGTTTTCCAACAGTTCTCCACATAAATGCATTCTTAGGTAGAATACATGCACCACTTTTTCATTACATATAGAAGTAAAGTACAGACTGTGAACCAAACTTCGGTTACAGGTTGCGGAAAGCTTTACTTCGAGCTTCTACATTAATAACCCTACTGACCAAATTGGGAAATTGTAGTGAATTATGTGAACAGATATTCCAGGCATAACTCTACTACACTCTCTCCAGCTTTCCTTCCCTTTCTTCCCGGTATGACATTCAATGTTTGCCAGTCATTGGCCTCAAGTGACTTCCTTAGGATCATGTTGTTTTTTAGATTGAAAGGAAAATGATTTATGACTCTAGCACAGAGGTGTCAAACTCTGACATAAATGACACTTTGTCAGCCTGGCCGTGTGTGCTATAAAATGTAATGCCAGGTACCGGAGATAGAAACTGTATAAAGGACAGCAGCTGGTAAGCTCGGAGCTGATGTATCCTCATTGCAAGGCCCCATGGGCTGGAAGGGAGGTGCAGAGGAAAACTCGCATGGGCGGACTGGAGAGGCCGCAGTGCAGCACTGGGCAGATGCTCCCACGATGCTTGACTGCTGCAGATGAGGTTGTTCTGCTGTGCTGAAGCCACAATGGAGTGGCTCCATCCACTCCCTCCCCAGCACTCCCTCCCTTGCATCAGTTGCTCACAGGCTGCATAAGAGCCCTAAATGGGCTGGATCCAGCCCGTGGGCCGTATGTTTGACACCCCTGCTCTAGCACATCTATGTGTAAGCGCATCCACATGGTCACATAACACACAACCTCACCCACACACACACACACAGATAGCAAATGTTTTAAAATATAAGCAGGAGCCTTGCTACACTTTAAAAATTAACAGTTTTATTTCATCTTACGCTTTCCTGACTAGAAACTACTGGTTCGGATACTTAATCTGGAATAAAAACCCATTACTCCTGAAGGTGCCACAAGACTCCTGCTTACACTTGCCACTGTGTACAAGCAGAGTAACACAGAGACTACTGCACTAGAAGCGTTAATGCGGAAGGCACTGTTGAGTGTCTTTCAGTTCATCTGACAGAGAAATGCAAGCATTCAGCAGTGAGATTAAGCATTCTACCAAATACATTTAAGGAGTAAACTGTTAAGATCAGTTTGCCAGCAGCACACCCTCTTTCAGAAGCCAGGACTGGGCTCTCTATTGCTCTGTAAATGAATAACATCCAGCAGGCAGACAAGAGTTTAAAGCAACCTATTGGGGGTGGGGCTGCTGTGACAGTAACTTGAAGTGAGGCGAAATGACGGCGCTGTCATAAGAGTGTCCCCATTTCTCAGTGGCAGCCACTGTGGCAAAGCACATTCAGTCCGTGATCCTCACACTGATTTCAACGAGAATATTCCAAAAGGAGACCAGGAGCCTTTCCCAAGAAGCAGGTCTGCCCTCCCTTCCTCCTTACCGCCAGTTGTTTTGGTTTGGCTTTCTGTCTGTCTTTTTGTTTTTCCTTCCAACTTTCGCTCGCGCATTGGGCGGGAAAGCCGCTAGAGCAGCGGTTGAACCCGCAGTTTGCAGTATTGAGCCTCGAAAGCCTGCAAGGTAGGGAAACGCAGAAGTGAAACAGGTACCTTGAAACAGGCGCAGACCAGTCCTCGCCTCAGAAGTCTAGCGCGACTCGGGAGGCAGCGGCGCTCCCGGGCACCTCGTACAGGGGAAGGGACAGGCAAGAGGCGAGCGTGGCGGCTCAGAGTCCCACCCTCTTCCCAAGAACAGCAGCGCTTCCCTTCGTCGAAGCAGCGCTCGGCGGCGTTGGCTGCTGCGTCGGGTAGTCGACCGATTTCCCCTCAAGGGTGGGAAAAGGCGCTGTCTGCGCGGAGAGTCCAGAACGCCCGGCCCGCCCTAGATGCTGTCGCTCGCTCTGTGTGGCGGCATGGCCTCCCTCCCTCCCTCCCTCTTGGGCGGCTTCAGAGTCCCACAAGCCGTTCTGCAATGGTCTCCTGCTGCTGAAAAATCCCACTGCGGGCATGGGGGGGGGGGGGCGGGCAGTTAATTGGAAGGTTTATAATGTGTATGTTTTAAAGTTGAATGTGCCAGGCGCCCTGAGCGAGGGGGAAGAGCTGAGTATAATAAATAAAATCAATCTCCTCCCTGCATGTTACTCAGTGCCAGGACAAGCTTCTCACATGCAAATGCTCAGGGTTTTTTTTTAAAAAAAATGTTAATGGTTGTTGCATTTTATGTTTCACCCTGTAAGACGCCTTCAGCAGGTTCTTTACAGAGGCAGCATAGACATTTTCCAAACAAGTATACACTAATATTATATACCTATTAAAAGACCAATATTAGACGAGACTACTGTGTTCATACTTTCATTTTTTTTAAAAAAAAAAATTGTAACATACATAGCCATCGAAGACATGTTTCCATAAAAATATGGGGCACTCAGTAAGTGTGTATAGGACTGTGGCCTAAAATATCACACTATTGGAGTGCACATAAAGTAATCTAGACTAAATACCATTGCAGATTCCTGCTCAGCAGATAATATGCTGTCCAGCTTTTTCATGGCTTGAAATGGGGGATGCGTGTAATTCTTATATCAGAAATCATTGTCCAAACTCTGCAGCACCTGCCATCTATTCTACCCTTTTATGCTGCACTCTGCCATAGCACATCCTCCATTTATTTAAAAGCTGACAAGAGTTGTTTTGTTTAAACATATACTTGGAAAACACAATTGCCTTGCAATTAGTCATGCTCAAAACCTTCTGGTTTGGCTTAAGTCTTGCTTGCTGGTGACAAGCAGGGAGCTGATCATTCACATGTGTGAATGAATTCACATGTGTCCATTTACACAATTAAGGCTGTTTTCTCCCACACTTAGGCTTTCTTGCCATTATTGCTTTCCCCATCTGCCACTGCTCTGTCTGCCTCTGTTTTTAAAAGGATACATAGTAAAATTGAGGGGGGGGGATGAGATCTTTGATCTTGTAATCAGTACATCCAACAAGTACTCAAACAGATGGTGGTAACTATAGGTACAAAAAACAGGGAATGCAAGCTAGTGGATGTCGTTAATTTAAGGATGCATCTGGCTGTGCAGGTGCAAAGACGGAATGAACAACATTCTGTGATTCTTCTGTGCTTTTCAAGTCAGTCATTTTGTTTGCCATACAAGTAGGTCACTTAAATGACTTAACATGACCACGATGCTTCAATCATCAATCCAGAAAGTTTAGTTCTTAAACTGGGCCAAAATAGCCCCAAGTTGCAATGACCTGACTCTGTAAAACAAGAGGTTAGTGTGCAAGAACTTTGAGAAAAACTGGGACAGATAGCCTGATCAGGAGGTCACCTTTTGTGTAATTGTGGGAGTCAAGCAAGGTAAATTCTCCCGGCATATGTCCATATCAAAGTTTACAGCGGGTCTACTTACAATATGTTGTCAGTGGTTCAATATCTACCTCAGCAACTGTAATGTGTGAAATTATTACTGTTTTTATTTACTTAATTTATACCCTGCCTTTTTCCGCAATGCAGCTTATGTCACTCCACGCTTCTCCATTTTATCCTCACAACAACCTTCTGAGGCAGGTTAGACTGAGGGTGTGGTATCTTGGCTTTAAATAAGCCACTTGAGTTTGGGATGCTTTGCATCAATCAAACAGCACCCCCTAAGCACCCAATCAAACATCACAGGCTGGTCATTCACATCGCTAACGTGCCACAATCATGGACCCACTGCTGGGTTGGTTGTTTATTTCCTAAGCCTCACTGTGTGTGCGGAGAAGCAGACAAGCAGACATAGTGTCTCAATCATAATTTTATCAGACTGAGGACCAAATTTTGTAAATGTAGTTAGTTTATTATTATCTTTCAGACACTCACATACACACCCACACTCTGCTGTCATCTATGCCAAGTATCTTTGTGTCACATGATCCATCTGTAGTGTACTGTAGTGAAGGTGCAGAGGTCTGACCTATACTGAGATATGTCTTGGTTCTCAAAAGATTACAAGTGAGAACATAACAGGCTACAAAGCCTAAGAAAATAATCTACGTAATACTTTTTATTAGAACCAGTCTAATGGTATATAACAGTGTGCAAGCTTTTGAGCTCACCAGAACTATTTGCCAGGACAGACATTACATCAGGTGTGTCAACCATGCAGCCCGGAGGCTGGAACAGGCCCTTGGAGGTCTGCAATCTGGCTGTTTCCTGCTTCCTTTTCCAGTTCTGCTCCTGCTGCTACATCACAGCTTACATTACCAGACTCTCTCAATTGCATCGGAGAGATAGATAGGCAAGCCTCTCCTGTGCAATTGAGAGAGGCTGGTAAAGCACTGGCTGAAGCTCCTCCCCCCCCCTCCCTGGGGGAAGGAGGGAACCAGCCAGAGCTCACTTCCAGGCCAGGCTGCCTCAATCATATACAGGAGACAAAGGGAAGCATTTCTTTCCTTCCACTGGCTGAGGCTCCCCCCTGAAGGAAGGGAGGGAGGGAGGAAGAGCTTAGTTTGCTGGGCTGCCCCAATCGCACAGCAGAAATCCCAGGCACCTTTAAGAACAACAAAGTTTTGTTCAAGGTATGAGCTTTTGTGTGCCTTGCTACAGGGTGTGTGTATTCTGTTGGGCTCCTTATGTTGTGTGTGTGTGTTTGGGCTCCTTTTGCCAGGGCTCTCCTGGGTGCATCTGGGTTCCCACCCCTTTTCACTGTGTTCATGCCCTCATGACCCAGTCTTTCTCAGTAAGAAAGCAATGTGAACTATTTTAGAGGAGGAATAACAATAAGCCAATGAGGTGGATTAGGCTGAGAGTCTGTGTCCAGACCAAATTCACCCAGCACATTTCCTTTGTAGGAATGTTGTAGTTATTTCTCTGGGAAAGACTATAGTTTGTGTAGACAAACAACCTTCAGTCTGTGTCAGGATGCCTTCTCACGTTCTTGACCAGCCAATGAAGCAACTTATGTATAAAAGCTCAAAATGCCCAGCCATTTCTTGTTTTCCCCTGGGTCCTAGGTGCAGAACACTGAGCGTGAGATTTCTATAATGAATATATATAAATCAAAAGTAGGTTTGCAGCTTACAGATACATATCTGAATATCATATTCAAGATTGCTACAGTGCAGACATTTTGATGCAATAATTCAAAGCAAGAAGTGTCAGTTATCAGAGACTGTTAAATAGACAAAATATTGCCAAGAGTGCTAGTGTTTTAAGCATGTTTATTTTAAGTTTAAAAATTTTTAATTGTGTTTGTGTCCTTTATAAAGTTTATATCTCTCCTTCCCTTCCTTTCCCCACTGCTCTTGGGAGAACCGACGCTCTCAGAGAACTTTGACTGACCCAAGGTCAGCCAGCAGCTGCATGTGGAGGAGTGGGGAATCAAACCCGGTTCTCCCGCTCTTACCTACTACACCAAACTGGCTATGGATTGTGTTCTGGTTTTGGGGAGATTTTGATTTTGGACTAATATGACTGTAAACAAGTTTTTGCCTACAATCCTCGAATAACATGGTACTTACTTCTGAGTAGACCTGCTTAGGATTGTTCCTATGGATAAGAGCCAGTTTGGTGTAGTGGTTAAGTGCGCGGACTCTAATCTGGGAGAACCGCGTTTGATTCCCCACTCCTCCACTTGCACCTGGCTGGATTACCTTGGGCAAGCCGAAGTTCTGATAAGAGCTGTTCTTGAAAAAGAGCAATTTCTGTCAGAGCTCTCTTAGCCCCACCAACCTCACAGGGTGTCTGTTGTGGAGAGGGGAAGGGAAAGGAGTTTGTAAGCCGCTCTGAGACACCTTTGGGTAGTGAAGGACGGGGTATAAATCCAATCTCTCCTCTTCTTCTTCTTAAAAAAATCAATTGACAAAACTCACTTTTCATACAAGCCAGAAGGAGCAGCAGGGGTAGCTCACTGACTACTATTGGTATGGTGGGAACAAACTTTCTTCTGTAGCTTATGTAGCATTTAAGGGGTTACAGTACGTTTATTCTTCAATTTTAGAATTAGATCGTGCATACACAATTGCTAGACATATTCAGAAGTAATGCAGGTGTCAGACAGTATTATGCTAAGGCACGCCTGCAATACCACCTGCAATCCCTCTACATTAAATTCTCATTCATTTTCTTAATGACACAAAAATGGGCTTCCTAATTACCCCAGGGACACCTAATAGCCATCAAAACAGTATTAACCACAGCAAGGTGCTTATTTATAGCATAAATTATTCTGATGTACTCACCATCCACAAAATAGCCCTCTCTAATATATGCAAGTCTCATTTCTAGCAGGCACAGGCTACTTGGCAAGACATAGACAATTATAGTCACTAATGAACAACTAAGTTATAATTTAGTATTTTAAGTGCAATGACAAACAAAGTGAATGGTTTACAAGAGGAAAACACCATCCTGAATTAAAGACTAACCTGAATTTAACAAACAAACATAATTGTTAAAACGTGCTCATAAGTATCTTACAATAGAAAATTAAGACAATTCCAACCAATTTGCAATAATATAAGGCTATGTGAGCTAGCCAGCAAAGTGGATGCACATTAAGAAACTGATTTTTTGTTATGTATATCACATGGGAGAGATTGCATTTCAAACACAGGCAATATTATCTTTTGTCAGCAAACGGAATTACATCAGCAGCGGTCTAGTAACAGAAACAGACACACCCTTTCCCTTTTCAGTATACACAACAGAGAATGCTGAAGTCAACAGAACAGTACAATAGAAAAGCTACAGGCAGGGTAGCAGTGTAAACTGCGCAGCTGAAAAGTAAAGATTCGTGGAACTCTTAC